CTTTAGTTTAATCTTTATCTTTGGGGAGGTTCTGGGGCGACGCAGAGGTTCTGTTCGCTTCAGGGCTCTGCTCAACTCAGAATAAAACGCTTCAAACTGAGACTATTTGTGTTTTAATGTGCTGTGATCCAGATTAACCTTTTCTTTTTCTAAACCCTTCCTCCGCTGCAGTACGTTTACATGACACACCGGTAGGACTGCCCTCCTGCTTCCTCCTCCATCCAGACAACTGTCTTTGTTTCCTCTGAAGGGGATCTCCTCCTCTCTGGTTTCGTAACTCTTTCTTTTCCTGGTTTCACAGTTTCTCCCTTCGCTCTGAGCCCATTGAAGCCTGCGAGACCTGTTGCGCCGACACATGATCCAGCGTTTAGTCAGTGTGTGAACCAGAACAATGGCCGACGGCGTTACGCCCACAATCCTCGGCAACACAAACAGACACACACACATGCTGCAGACTGGAGGCCACACGGTGAGGATCCTCTGTGTTGTCGCTGTTGCCACAACACCAGTGTGGACCAGTGCTGGACTGGTGGGACTGGTTACCTCCGTCACGCCGGAGTCAGCGTGAGGTCTGTTTACAACGTGGCAGCCTTCGTTCATGTTGTGGATGTTGTTCTGGGCTCAGGATCAGTCCACACGTGGAAACAAACTGCAGATTTATTGATACTGAAAACCTGCCGGATGAGCTTCAGAGAGTCGAGAACCGCAGTCAGCTGAGAGATTCCCTCGTCTAAGGCTTAGTTTTATAGAAGGAACCCCAGATTTGATTGAATAAAGCAACTTTTCAGCTGAACAAAACAGAAAATAAGCAGGTAGCCACCATGGAAGGTCCAAACACGTCCCTCACATCATGAAACAACGGCTTTATGTTCTTAATTTAATAAAACAAAATACACTCGTGACTGTAATAATACTGTATAAAGAATAATAAAGCTGCTAATCTGTTCATCCACCTGAGTCAGCACTACCTGTTCAACTAGTCAGCAATTAATGTTTAAATAGTTATCTAAAAGTAACGGACAAACAGATGCTATAGCTAGCTAAAATTGACAAATGAACTGTTTAAACTGTTAGCTAAAAACAACGGACACACCGCTGACATGGCTAAAATTGACAAACTATTTAAATAGCTAAACCCTGTGGAGAAACAGTTCGGTACTTTTAGCTAACAGTAATGGATAGAAAATTGATTTTAAAATGGTTCGCTAAACGTTATAGATGAACAGCTGACGTAGCTAAAATTGACAATTAAACTGTTTAAACAGCTCAAAGTAACTGATTAGCTGTTCTTTATGTTTAAAAGCTAAAAGAAATGGATAAACATTTGCCGTAGTTTGCTAAAATCAACAAATAAGCTGTTAAAATAGTTAGCTATGGTGAGTTGCTAAAGCTAAACTTTACAAACTCGTTAAATGGATTTTACCGGTAAGCTAACAGTGATGGATGAACAGCTAACGCAGCTAAATTTGACCATTAAACAGTTTAAATTGCTAAAGTAATGGATAAACAATTCGCTAATGTTAACAGTTAGCATAAAGAAAAGGGTAAACAGTGGACGTAGTTAGCTAAAAACGACTTAAACTGTTAAAATAGTTGGCTAAAAGCCATTGTTAAATAATTAACTACGTTTAAAGATTAGCAAATAGTAATAAATAAATAGTCCTTCAATATTAGCGATAAGCTAACAGTAGTGGATAAGGAGTTAGCTAAAATTGAAAAACGGTTCAATAGTTAGCTAAAATGGCAAATAAACTGTTTAAACAGTTAGCTAAACGTTAATGAAAACAGTGCATGACTTTTCATTGTTAGCTAGCTCACCTAGCTAACATTTACAAACTTTTAAAACAGTTAGCTAAAAGCAACAGATGAACGATTGACAAAGCTAATATTGACAATTAAACTGTAAAAATAGCTCAAAGTAATGAATAAACCTTTTACTACTTTTAACAATTAGCAAAAAACAACAACAACAACAACAACAACAAAATAAAAACCTGTTACTCCAGTTTGCTAAAATTGACAAATAAACAGTTTATGTTCAGCAGAGCGTTCGGGACAAACAGTTAGCTAAACAGATAAACAGTCGCCACAGTTCGCTGGAATCAACAAACTGTTTACACAGCAAGCTAAAGATAACTTTTCAAACAGACCAAAACCCCCGAAAACCTCTTAAAATAGTTTCAACATGAACTCATGAACTGTTTCTGTCAGTTAGCGAACAGCTGACGCGCCTCAAACGGACAAATAAACAGTTTAAATCAGCAACAGTAGAAGATAAACAGCGGAGACAGTTAGCTGAAGTGATGAATAAACAACATCCAGTGTTACGTGATGTTAGCGGTTCATTCAGACGTGTGGAGACGATTGTGGCGTGAACGTGGAGCAACACACTTTGACTTTTACACGGTAGGAGCTGAGCTGGAAAACACCCGAATGCATCATTTTAAGGGCAAAAAAATCACAAATAACAAAAATCCACAGCGGCTGCAGAGGGTCAGCGCCGGGCCTCGGTGCCAGAACCAGCCTGCAGATAGACTCCACCTACACGGGATCATTTATCAGAGGATGTGGTTGTAAAGCTGCAGCCGTCTGAAGCACATCAGAGACATTATAGTTGCATTATAAACTGGGATTATGAAGGGAAAGTGCTGACTGGGACCATCTCATAGACAGCAGACGTTAGCGTTACGCTGGAGCTTAATGGAGGCAGCGTTGGTCCATCAATGATTCATCTCCTGCGCTCTGGTAGGAAGCAGCTCCTCGCTAAACTGATTTACCCAGAATCCCCTGCTGACGCACTCTCTGCTGCCGCTGGAGCCCAACGAGTCATCAATTAAGAATCTTGAAATAACGCAATTAGCAAAACGCCAATTAAGGACGTCTGAGGCTGGACGAGAGGAAACCTGCTGACAGGAGGATGGTGAGATTGTTCTGATTAGGATTTACTTAATATTTAGTTTCTAAATGTAATTAAATATATAAAAAATGCACTAAATAAGAATTATAGGCAAGTTCTCCTCTTTGCAGTTAATTTGTTTTTGATTTCATCTGGTGTTAATTCTTCAGATAAATAATCAATTAACTGAACGAATGTTTACGAAGAAAATTTACGAGAAAAAACATCTAAATTGATCGACTGCAGCTCGTTAAACGTGAACGTTTTACGGATCAGACGACTAATCGAGTGATCGTAAAAAAAAAGCACTGAGGGATTAATTAACAGAGTAAATGATTGTTAGCTGCAGCCCGATATTATGCAAATTCACTGAACTGATCAAACAATGACGTTTATTATTATTTAAACGTACTGAGTTGGAGTTCAGGTAGTTTTTATTTGCAGTATTTTATCTTGAATTTGTTTTCTGGTGCATTTTAACGACAAATTATGTTAATTTTCCTGTAAACGAAGCCAAAGTGCCTCATTTTTATTTATTTAGTTTTACATATTTATCAGAAGTTAACCAACTTCTTAAGATAAATAACTTGTGAACTGCTGACTGACACTATCTGACATGTTAATAAATCAAATAAATGACTGAATGATCCAGGAAATGATCAGCAGATTAAATTCTGATGAAAGACTGTCGATAGTTTCAGTTCAAAACCGCCCGAATACATAACTGTATGACTGTAATGCTAGAAAAACGAAAATATTTAGAAATTAAATCCAAAAATACAGAATTTTAACAACACATTAGCTGTAAATGTAAATATTTCTGCTGTGCTTTGTGAATTCTTCACATCACTAATGTGTGAAACGCTCGCTGACGTTTTATAAACCAGAAAAACTGATTAAATAATAAAGAAAACAGTCATTATTTACGTTCCTGGTGAATCTTCAGCTCAGATTTGTTCGTGTAAAAGTCGCTCTGGAGCGTGTTCTGGTGTCGACGGGGAGGGTTCTGGACCCTGGGTTCTGGACCCTGGGTTCTGGATCCTGGGACGACGTGGAGCAAGACGAAGCCGCTCCGCTGCTCTGTGTTGGGTTTAGTAACGCACACCAGAACACGAGCGCTCCGTCTGGAGTCGTTTCCCAAACAGGAGTTCTGCTGAGCGGGCCCAACGCCGCTCACAAAGTGGGCCATTGTGGAAACCGTTTTAGTGCCGAACGTGACCCAGATTCAGGGAAATGTTGGGCGTCACGAGACGAGGAGACCCGCAGACCTCTATCTGGAGCCAGAAGCTGCACAGAACCTGAGCATCTGGTCCGAATTCTGTGACCTTAGCCTCTAAAACGTGAATATTTTCTGACATTTCACACATCAAACAATCAATAAAACAACCAACAGATGGCTCACATCAGCCCTCGTTACATTTATTAATCAGAGGTACGTCGTTTGGGTCCTTCATGGGAACACTTTGGTAGTTTTTCTTTGGTTTCTCTACATTCATACCAGGAGCTGCCTCTCTCTGCGCTCTGATTGGTTCACGTCACCAGCATCAGCCAATCAAACGACGGATCAATTAAAACAGAAACAAAGTGTTTCATGGAGGTCTTGTGTTTTAGTTGTTCTAGTGACCCGACACGTCCCTCATAGGATGTAGATAAGGTGTAAGAAGGTATTTAATCTATACATTATATTTACTATGTTATTAATTATTATTACACACCAAGTAAACGCTCCCTCATATGTTATATTTATAGTATTATTTATGATTATTTTACATGAAGGTTGGTGTAAAAAGGTATTTTCTCTATTATGTTATATTTCTGACATATTCATATAATATTACAGATTTTATTTCTGTGCTCCCGTCACAGACGACATACAAAATGTAAAAATGATTTATTCTCTATAAAGTGTATTTATAATATTATTTATTATTATTTTGTGTACAGTTTACGCCCCCTGTCCTCCCTCATAGACTGTTCATAAAGTGTAAAAATGATATTTTCCTCTAAATATCGTGTTAAATTTATTCTATATTTATATAACAATGATTTATTTTTATCGTATATTATATTATGTGCTGCATTTAAAGCAGAAACGTGATATTTTTCTCTATATATTATGTTATATTTATATAATTATTGTTTATTTTTGTTATATATGATATTTTTGTGCTCCCTCATAGACTGTATACATGTAAATGATATTTCTCTGTATATATCATGTTATATTTGTGTTGTATTGATTATTTATTATTATTATTATGTTCTTCCCCCCTCCTCCCACCCACCTGGGAGCTGACGTAGAGCCGCAGACACTCCTCACACACGCTCTTTCTGCAGCAGGGCAGCGACGTGGGGATGGATTTATCCTCCAGGCACACCCGGCAGTTCTGCACCGAGCCCTCCTCCCGGACGTGGTCCCAGTACATCCAGCGGGCCATGTCCCCGAACGGGTCCACCAGGTCCTCCACGGTGTACAGCGTCGGCTCGGGACTCGAGCCCGCGTCCCCTTCGGCCTCCGGCTCCGCCCCTGTGGCCGCTCCATCCCGGCGGTGCGCGGCTCCGGCGTCCTCCGGCGGAGCGTCGCTGGCGATGCAGTACACGGTGCAGTAGACGTGCTGCTTGGCGCCGACGCTGTCCTCCGAGGTGTCTGGGCTGCCGTCGCCCTCCCCGGGCGGACGGCGCCGGTCCGGGCCGGTCGGACCGTCAACTCCCGGAGCGCCGCAACTCGCCGAGGTTGGCTCGTTTTTCGTCCCCGCGTCGCCCGTTTCTCCGTCCGACCTCTCTCCACGCTCGGTGCCGTCAGCCTCGTCGGTGTCACCGCGTCCTTCGAGGCTTCCGGGCTTCTGCATCCGACCGCCGGTGCCGAACCGCAGAGACGGAGACCTGGACTCGCCGAAGTTCCTCCTCAGGACGTCCACGGCGCTGGCTCTCCGCCCCGCTCGCCGCCCTCCGCCGTTGCAGTTGTTGTTGTTGTTGCCCTCCGCATCCCGCCGCTCCCCGCCGCCCCGCTCCGGTTCCCCGCCGCCCCCGTCCAGCGACAGCCGGGACTCGGACCTGCGGACGCGTCGGTCCGGTCCAACTTTAGCGTCCGCGGTGGAAGTTTCTGCGGGGGGCAGGTTGCGGGACAGTCTCGCCCTCCCCTCCTCCAAGCTGCTGATAAAACTCGGCATGTCACAGGCGGCGGCTACCGGTCCGTCATCGTCCATCCCCGGTTCGGTTCTCCCCATTTAGCGAGCGGTTCTGGCCGTGTGGAGAGCTCTGTCCCCGGACGGACCTCCGCTGTCCGGCCCTCCAACTCCGGCGACCAAAACAAAACAAAGCCGCCGCTGCTTCCGGGTCTGAGCTGCGGAGGGCGGTGATAGGCGGAGGGGAAGCCTAGCGGTGGAGCCCGGCCTCCGCAGGCCGGACCGGACCGAGAGTCTGAACATGGACTTTACTGGAACCGGAACCGTGGAGGAAATATACCGGAGACGGTCAGAACCACTGGAGGACATGAGATTTTATTATTTCTTTTTTTCCTCAGAATTTTCTTATTTTAAACTCAGAATTCAGATGAAAAGTAAAATAAAAATTAAATTAAATATAAAGCTGACAAACAGCCAGAATTCTAAGTCATAAACTGATAAATGAATAAATTCTAGAGTCAGAATAATGCTGGAGGTGAAAAAAATATCAAAATAAAGTCAGAATTTTGAGGAAATTCTAACATTAAATTCTTAATTCTGTGATTTTTTTTCTAATAAAGTCAAAGTTCTGAGCTGGATATGAGTTTAAGTTCAGTACTTGGGGTTTATTGAGGTTACTTTTGCCAGAAGAAAAGGTGTCAGCATTTTTTAAGAAAGTCAGAGTTCTGAGATTAAAGTCAGAATTCTGCCACAAACAATCAAAAGTGTGAGGATAAAAAAAAGTCTGTTTTTTAATATGAGTTTAAACTCAGTTCTCTGTGTTTCAGTCAAACGTCTGCAAAAAGAAAAAGTCAGAATTCTGACATCAAAGTCTGACTTTTGCAAATTTAGCAAAAAGAGTCAGAACTCTGCGTTTAAAATCAGAATTTTGCTCAAAAGTCTGAATTTTGAGGACAAAAAAAACCCTAAATTCCGAAGAAAGGCCTGAAATCTGCAGAAAAATAAAGCCCAAAATGATAAAATTCATGAAAGTCAAAATTCTTTACCTCCACGACGTTAACGTGACGGTAAGGCCATGATGAAGAAAGTCATTCTCGTTTATTTTGAAGGTCACCAGACCCTTTGGTTCCTGTCACAGACTCCTGATTCCACCTTCTGTTGTTCATCCTTCTCTTCCCTCCTGCCACTGATCAGCATCTGTGTGCTGGTGTTGTTACTCAAAACACATATAATTATTTAAGTTTAAAGAATAATTAATCTTCAGGGTTTATTCACCACATGTTACCCGTTATAATGTTGATTCTTAAAGATTTGTGTGCTTGTAAGTGATGCTGTTCTGCAGGACAGGAGTCCCGTCCTTGGGAGGAAGCAGGTGAGTGTGTGACCGCCAATAAGCTGATAATCAATAACCAGGATGAGCTGTGGTAAAGATAAAGGGACGTACATTCCAACAAAGGATCAGAGGAATGAAGGAACAAACAAACAAATGGACGGATCAGAGGAAGATGAGGAACAGCTTGTGTGACATAATGTGTAAGCTGTCATGTGACTGAATCGTATCAGACGAGGGTCTGAGTCTGACTCTGTCTGATGCTCGGCAGAGTTTGACCTGAAGCTCTGTGATGTCACATTCACTGTGTGATTAATTGATTAATTGAGACCGCGTTGGATTTGTTTCGTCTTTACAAACGAACACGCGGAGAAAAGAGAATCTTCTCCAACACTAGCTGACCACTGTTCACTACAGTGTTTACATACAGCGCCCCCTACTGTCTGACTCAGCCTATAACAGGTGTGACCCTGCAGATGTTCTGGGTCGGTTCACCTTCACAGACTCTGTTGGTGAACCCACTGTGTACCAGAACACCACTAAACACCCACTACAGCAAACCTCCCACGAGGCCTGTGGGTAGAATCTCTTCAAAAAGCTTCTTTCACACTAGTAATGGAGTATTTGTACTTGGCTCTACCAGTACTTTTACTTACCTGCTGCTTTATACACGACTTTAATTATTCAGACGTTCATGAGCAGCACAACGAAGCAGCTTCACTCTGATTGTGTCGCAGGAAACACAACTAACCGACTTCTTCACAGTTTCTCTCCGAGCTGACGTGAACCGAGACGCGACGTCTCCATGACGACGGGACAAACTCTATCTGCAGCCTTGTGTTGGACGTTTTTTAAAAGAAACTCAAGTAGATATAAGAACTACAGACACTGGAGCTGAAACAGGGATCAGTGCAGCTTTAAGTTTTCTGTTTCTTGGATCCCATCGACTGTAAAAAGCAGCTCAAGGCAACACTTCATTAAATCCATGTTTGTGAGGTAAAACAGAAATCTAGTTTACGGATTTAAATCAACGTTTTAAGTTGTGAATGTTGTTTTAAAGGGTTGTGTTGACATGAAAATGTTGGAAAGATAAAATAAAATGATTAAAAAAAACTGTGTTAATCCCAAAGAAAGCTCTGGAAAGAGTCAGAATGAGTCTAAAGTCAGAATTTTTTATTTTTTTTGTTGGGGGGGGGGGAAGAAAAGAAGCAAAAGTTTGTGAAAAGGTCAGAACTCTGACGGTAAATTCAGAATTTTGCCCAAAATTTAGAATTTTGCACAAATGAGTAACAATCCTGGAATTTCTAAAAATTCTACAAAAAGCCTGAATTCTGCTTTTAAAGTCAGAATTTTGTGTTTGATGTTAAAAAAAATAAAATAAAGTAAAATAAAATAAAATAACTAAATTAAATTATTTTCAAAAAGTCATAAAGCCAGAATTTCAAATAGTCAATATTCTAGAAAAAGTCAGAAATTTGAAAGAAAAAAAAAGAAAAGAAAAAAAAAAGTCGGAATTCTGAAATTAAAGTCAGAATTTTGCGTTTGATGAAAATTAAATTAAACTAAATTTTTTTTAAAAAGTGAAAAAGTCAGAACTTTGTAAGAACAATGAAGAATTCTGAGATTAAAATCGGAATTTAGCAAAAAACAAATAAACAAATGATCCAAAAGCAAACTAAACTAAACTAACCTTAAAAAAAATATTTATAAATAACACAGAAATGCTGTTTGGATCAACTTAATTTTTTTTTATAAGTAATGAATTTAAAATTTTGTGGTTATTCCACCAATTATTAAATAAGCAGAAATTTAAAAAAAAAAAAAAGCTAATTCTGTGAACTCATTTCAGTTTGTTGGTTGAACATAACTGTATTAGAAGTTGTTGTAACTCAAAATGTTTGATGCAAACATTATTTTTATTCGTTAATGGAGTCTCCACCTGCTGACATCCTGCAGCAGCTGAAGTTCATCCAACAGGAGAAGCTGCAGACTTTATCGT